TGTGTGTGTGTGTGTGTGTGTGTGTATGTCTGTGTGTGCGCTGGGCCTCTGTACCGATTTTTCATTTCGAGACCTACAAAAGCCACAGGGCTGAAACTTTGGGAACTTAATGCACGTACAGGCCCCCATCTCCAAAGTGGGCGACCTTACTTACGTGGCACCCACGTAAGAGCCCGCTAAAGTTTTTTAGGGATAAGCTTTTAACTCGGGAACCAGAAATGCTGAAATTTTAAGGGGACGTTCCCTGTCTAAGTAGGTATTAATGAGCTCAAACCCAGCTTCCGAGTAAGCGTAGTACCCGCGTATGGGCCCGCCAAAATTTTTTTCGGGTAAATTGATAACTCGGGAATCTGAGAAGCTACAAGGCTGAAATCTTAAGAGGATGTTTCCCGTCGAGGTAGGCATTAGTGAGCTCAAACTCAGCCCCGGGTAAGCGTGGTACCCGTGTACGGGCCCGTCAAAGTTTTTTTTTCGGGTGAGTTCATAACTTGGGAATCTGAGAAGCTAGAATGCTGAAATCTTAGAGGAATTTTCCCCATCCAAGTAGGTATTGATAAGTTCAAACCTAGTCCCGGGTAAGCGTAGCACCCATGCACGGGCCCGCCAAAGTTTTCTTTCGGGTAGGTTGATAACTTGGGAAATTGAAAAGCTAAAGGAGTGTAATTTTAGGAGGATATTCCCCGTTCACCTAAGTCTCATTGAGTTCAAACCCAGACTCCGGGTACGCGTGGTACCGACGTACGGGCCCACCAAAGTTTTTCTCGGGTAAGTTGCTAACTCGAGAACCTGAAAAGTTAGAAGACTGTAGTTTTAAGAGGATGTTCCCGTCCACGCAAGTCTCAATGAGCTCAAACCCAGACATCGAGTATGCGTGGTAACCACGTACGGCCCGTGAATGTTTTCTTCCAGTAAGTTGCTAACTCAGGAGCCAAGAAAGCCAGAAAGCTGAAATTTTAATGGGTTGTTTCCTGACAGTTCTGGTGGCCAGTCTTAATTTGTTTAGCTAGAAGCATTTGCCGGAAAAACTGGTGCCGAGAGAACCATTTGCTGG